TTCAGGCTTTAATGAATCCGGTCCTTAAACCTTATTTGAGGAAGTTTGTGTTGGTGTTCTTCGACGACATATTGATTTATAGTAAAAACAAGGAAGAACACGCGGAACATCTCAAAAAGATTTTGCAGCTTTTGCAAGATAACCAACTGGTGGTTAATAGGAAGAAATGTTACTTTGGGCAGACCCTAGCAAAAATAAGACATGGTAAATTGGAATTTTCCTTCAGATGTGAAGGGATTGAGGGGTTTTCTTGGTTTGACGGGTTATTACCGGAGGTTTGTACAAGGTTATAGCAAGATTGCCAAACCACTCACTGATTTACTCAAGAAAGATGGGTTTCACTGGACAGAGGAGGCCAAAATTGCATTTGAGAAGCTGAAACAGGTTATGACTCAACTACCGGTGTTAGCAAACCCTAATTTTAACCAACCTTTTATCGTTGAAACGGATGCTTCTGGCCAAGGCATTGGGGCAGTATTAATGCAAGGTGGTAGACATATAGCCTACATGAGTAAGGTCCTTTCTACAAGAAATCAAAACAAATCCGTTTATGAAAGGGAACTGCTTGCAATTGTGGTGGCGGTTCAAAAGTGGCGACCATATTTAATGGGCAGGAGTTTTGAAATCCATACCGATCAGAAGAGTCTGAAATTCCTGACAGAACAAAGGCTTATGAGTGAAGAACAACAAAAATGGGTGGCTAAACTCATGGGCTACAATTTTGTTATCAAATACAAGCCGGGGTTGGAAAATAAGGCTGCAGATGCCTTGTCCAGAAAGGGAAATTACCAAGCTTTATCAGTTGTAAGTTGTCAAGAATGGGAGGGGCTAGAAGAAGAATTGTTGCAAGATAAACGATGCAATCAGCTCATCCAAGATCTGTTAGTCCAGCCAAATTCACATCCAGGTTTCAAGTTAAAAAGGGGATTACTTTATTACAAAGACAGACTCATGTTGCCCAAGGGATCTCCTCGTATTACTAAGGTACTGACAGAATTTCATGATTCAGCCAGTGGTGGACATTCGGGATATGTCAGAACTTTAAAGAGAATAGCCAGTGTGCTCTATTGGGATGGGATGAGGTCGGAAATCCAGAATTATGTGTGCAGTTGTGAGGTTTGCCAAAGAAATAAGTACCAAACATTAAGCCCTGCTGGGTTATTGCAACCCCTGCCTATTCCAACTCACGTTTGGGCTGACATTAGCCTAGATTTTATAGGAGGCCTTCCAAGGGCAATGGGAAAGGATATTATACTTGTAGTGGTCGACAGGTTAACAAAATTTGCTCATTTTATTGCGTTAGCTCACCCATATACGGCTAAAGGAGTGGCAGAGATATTCATCCAGGAAGTTGTTAAATTGCATGGATTTCCAAAGACCATAGTTTCAGACCGGGATAGTGTGTTTTTAAGTTCATTTTGGTCAGAGCTTTTCAGGTTGGCAGGTACTAAACTAAAATATAGTACTGCCAATCATCCCCAGACGGATGGGCAGACGGAAGTGGTAAATAGATGTGTGGAAACCTATTTGAGGTGCCTCTCTGGGACAAAACCAAAACACTGGCCAAGATGGCTACCATGGGCAGAGTATTGGTATAATACTAATTACCACGCCTCGTTGAAGACTTCCCCTTTTAAGGCTTTATATGGACAAGACCCACCAACTTTATTCAGAGGAGATGCTACCCTTTCCACTGTGGAGGAAGTTACCAAACTCACAGCTGAGCGAAATGACATGATTAAAGAACTGCAGCAGAATTTGGCAAGGGCACAAAACAGGATGAAGCAACAAGCAGACAAGCATAGGAGGGAAGTACAACTAGAACTTGGAGACAAGGTATTTCTGAAAATACAGCCTTATAAGCTGAAGAGTTTAGCAAAGCGAAGGAACCAGAAGTTAAGCCCCAGGTTTTATGGGCCATTTGAAGTGATAGAAAAGATAAATCCTGTGGCTTATAGGTTAAAACTGCCAGAAGGTTGTGTGGTGCATCCCGTTTTCCATGTTTCACTACTAAAGAAAACTGTGGCGCCCAACATTCCTAGCCAGCGTCTACCAAGTTGTTTGTCAGAGGAATGGGAACTCCAAACTCAGATAGAGAGAGTGGTGGATGCTAGGATGACACCTACTGGACACCGGGAGATCTTAGTACATTGGAAGGATTTGCCTCAATTCGAAGACTCTTGGGAGGAATTGCAGCAGTTCCAGTCCATGTTTCCAGAATTTCACCTTGAGGACAAGGTGAGTTTTGAAGGGGAGGGTGATGATACGAGCCCAGATAAGTACCAAATTAATCCCAACAGGGATTTTTCAAAGGTTTATATCCGCAAGGGTAAAAGAGGGAATTTACTAGCAGAAAATCGTGGAGAAGCAGAAACAGATCGTGGAAGCAATATCAACGCAGTGCATAAAGCGTAACTGAAGAGGGAGTGGGTGGGAGTTTTGGACGTGGACAGAACTTGGTAGGAGAGAGAGACCCTCTCGAATTGGTCTCAACCAGCACTTTCATCTTACGTTTCTTTTGATATTGGTGTGCGTATATACTGTGTGTGTAATTTCAGACTTTCAGTGATCCAAATTACATACTATCTTGTGGTCTTTGTCGCTATTTACTATCACATTCTTACTTTATCAATTCAATATCAACCACATAAACTCACTTTTCTTAATAACCGTGTCACATCCTCTTGTCCCAATATATAGTACACCGTACTAAATTACTCATACTCTAATATTCAGTAGACTGATTGAGCGAGAGCGGCAGACACTCACACGTGACTAACGCGAGAGACGATCGGACTCTACGGATCTACCTTCCACACACAAAAGCCGAGACAACATTAATATTAATCCTGAATTCCCAATTATGGAATCGGTTCCCAAGGTCGGATCCTTTTGCTTCCTCTATTAATCTCTTCGGTCTTTTCTACTCGAAGACACGCTTCGCTTTAGCCTTTTCCTCTGGACGATTGATCCTCTCAAAGGATTCAACTAGCAGAATAGCAAGTAGCAGACAAGGATGACTGGTCGGGCTTTTGAGGTTGGTGAAATCGCTGTCCCCCAAGTGGTTACTTTGGTGGAGCAGGAATTGAACACCAATACAGCGCCCTTTTTCCCGTGGTTCAGAGAAGCCCTTGACTTTTACTCATCCATGTTCGAATCACTGGATGTTGTCCTGACTCCTGGCAAGGAATAGGAAGGAGCGTATCAATGTGGAGCAGCACTGCCTGGAAAGAGACTAAGTGCACATGATTGCTTGCGAGGGGAAGGAGAGGGTGGAGTGGCATGAGATGTTGGGGAAGTGGAAATTAAGGTTCAGCATGGCCGGGTTTCAATAGTACCCTCTCAGCTCCTACATCAGTTCAGTCTTAAAGGGCCTCCTCAAGTGTTACTCTGAGCATTACACAATTGTTGAGAATGATTGGGCTATGCTATCGGGATGGAAGGAGTGAGACCTCATCTCTACATCTGTTTGGCACTGAGTCTGTCATTCATAAAACGTGTGGCAATGTTGTATAAGCTTTTTGTCTAGAGAAAAAATAGAAAAATAGGAAAGAAAAAAACTCAACTATTATTGGGATCGTTGAAGCAGATCAATATATCTATTCTTGGGAATAAATACAGATAATGCATAGAAGATTTATGATGTTGATGATTTTAATTGAAAGGTAACAAATAGTTGGCTAGTTGCTACGAACCAACTATTTGCTCTCAATAGTACTCTGTGGACGAGTACACAGTGTTCAGTTTTTTCTTTCACTTTTGTTAACTATTGTAAAAAAATGTGTTCTTTCTTTAGAAAAATGTTACTAGTGTTTTATAGTGGTCTAAATTATGACAGTAAGAGAGGTTGGGTAGAAGGATTAAAATGAATGACACATTTTCACCAATCTTGGATCATGACTTCACATTTTCTATACCGAGTGCAGTATTAAACTCTTTTTTGTTTAATACGAAGTACAAAGTATTGGAGTTGTAGTATAAACTAAAAAATGGATTTTTGTATATTAGAGTTGAAAAGAATATTTCATTTTCTTACAAGAGAAAGAATACAACATCAAACTTGCATCTGTGATAATATCGTAGATGAAGAATATGTAGTTATTTTGACAGCATTTGAATATTTTGGTCTGGAAAGAGGAAGCTCACACATATCTTAATACTTCATAATAGTGAGCTGAGGTAAGAGAGTTTAGGGTATTAAAAAATGTTGGTTTCAGCAATTGTACACTATTGTTATATGCACTTGTACACTGCTTATAACATTGTGCTCCACAATTGTATAATTCGCGTGGCTATCAGCCTATTGTCTTTATATTGTTAACTTTGTATGCAATACCATGTGTGTCCCTCCCCGAGACCTTCCATATATGTCGTGCGATTCTTTATCCGCATATGATATACAGGTGAAATTTTATTCTCTATGATTAATTACTATTTGTGTTACTTATTTCTCTTTGCGTTTTCAGTATAATTTAATGGTGGGATCTAATCATGATATGGTACCTTCATCATTGCCATTCACCCTTCATCTTTCTCAGCTCCAATTGATCGCTAGTGATTTACACCTGATGATGTAGAAATGAAAGCATTGCCTAGGTTGGGGTGTAAGTATCAAAAATTTTAAGGAGCCCCATATGACTCCCTTATGGACAGGGGCGTAGCCAGGACACTGGGCTAGACTGGGCCGGTACAAAGAATATTATTGGAAAAAAATTTACACGAATTTTTTTACACTAAAAATATTGACATTTTTCAGATTTGGGGTGGGCCAGGGCCTAGCCTGGGCACCCCCTAGCTCCGCCCCTGCTTATGGAGTCATATGGGGTATTGTGGCACCACCATCACCATTCATTTTTTAGTAGGGTCCCCCACTAAAAAAATGAATGGTGATGGTGGTGCCACAATACCCCATATGACTCCATAAGGGAGTCATATGGGGTTCCATAAATCTACTCGTGTAAGTATATCTCCCAATTTGTAACAAGTAACTAGGGGTGGACCGAGACGGCTCGACCCGACCTGGAACCCGGTTCAGCCTGACACTGTGCAGGCCCGACCCGACGACCCGAGACCATGACTGGGGCCCGAACCGACGAACTCAACAAGTGGGCTACGGGATCCAAAAACGGTGGACCGGCCCGCTCGGCCGGGGTCCAGGCCCCATTACTTTTTTGATAAATGTACAATGGGTTGGGTTGGGTTGAAATGTTGAATTTGACAGGCATTGATTACCTGAGAGTTTGGGACCACAAGTCGACCTAATTAATGTGTGAAAAGATGCAAATAAACGAGTACAATTGTCATTTGCAGAATTGCAGAAGCTAATTGAAGTACTAAGCTCTGAGAAAATAAAAAGAAAGTTAGATACTACTATCATTTACGTTGGGTTTGTAGTGTTAATAAAGAGAAAATGGGGAGTAGGATTTGCAGATGACCACAAAACAGGGGAGCAGAGCTCTAGGATTAAGCAAATAAAGTTCCTCTATATTGGAATGGAGACCAACTTTCCCGGCCAAGGAATCAAAACCAGTCTGACCCGCCATTTCTTGGATATTCTCCAGAGGCCTATGCACTCTACCAGCTATGACCCTGCACACTATCAAAGCAGCTTTCCTTTGGTACAATGGTGGTGGATTACTGTCTTCTTCTTCTCCTCCTCCTCCATCCGCAGCTGCAGCAGCAGAGAGTTGTATGGATTCTAATGCTCTGGCGCTTGTGGAAGTGGTGAACACGCCTCCTCCGACCCCACTGTCTTTGATGGAGAGGCCGCCATTTCTGATGACTTGGCAGACGTGGCATTTGTCGGAGGTGCAGAGGGTGCAGGGTCCACCGCTGTCGCCGAGAGAGCATGCCACGGTGGTCCCGTAGAACCTTAAGAGCTCATTCCCATCGGCGAGGCACCTCGGGTGCCTCTTCGCCAGTTTTCCGGCCCTTGCCTTCACCATCTCCCTGTATTCTTCAAACCTTGCTACAGTTTTCTGTGTGTTGTGAACTTTCAAAACTCTCTCAATGCCATTACGGCTGCCACTGGATTTTTCCAACCAGCTCGACCGGCATATAATCTCCACTATTTTCCTTGAGGAGTCACCTTCCAAAAGTTCAGTCACTGCCCGTAAAAGAAAGGTCAAAATGATGTAAACAATAGCAAAAATGAAATATAATCAAATAAAAATTATGATTTTTTTAATAAGACAAGACATTCAATTAGAGATGGATTGAGTATGAGTTAGTGAGAGTAGTTGTGGGCGGACGATTTCATCACGCAACTGCCAAATAAATCTACTATCACCTTATTCAGTGATTATGAAGAGGCATTCAATTAGGAGAAAATATATGGAACATGCTAACATGCTCATTTCGGAGCACATTGGTGTGATAAATGATCAAGATGCACTCATTTAACATATTTAGAAAATCTTGGTCATTGATCAGGCCAACGTGCTCTATAGTAAGCACGTCGTCGAACTTCATATATTTTCTCATTCAATATAATTAGAGCTCGTTTAATTTGGTGATGATTATATTTTGAAAGGAAAAGTTCATATGGATATGGAAAACAAGAACACATTTCCGGATAAATGGTTTCTTCATTTGCTCTCTATTTGGAAATATTTTATAGATATTCATCATTTTTTCAACTAAGCTATTCTATTTTCTCTGTTTCTCCATATGATTCCTTCAATTTCTATTTCTATTTTGTTACACACATATATATGGGGAATTCGTTGAGAAGGTTTATAAAAACAATGAAAAATTAACCATTTTTACTTGATGCAGCCTCATTGTTATTTTTGTATATAGTGAGTGATGGTTTGTTTTTATATTAATGGTTACTTCGTACCGTACGAAATGTAAGATTGTAGAAATATTTTGTTCAAGTGGTAATACGTGTTATCGAAGAGGTATGTACGTTTCAAAACAAATGTTAATGTTGGATTGCATGTATATTGATGTAAATAGTTTATGTTAGATGTAAAAAAGTGACATATTACTGTCTATACTCTATATAATGTTACATGTAGTGACTCGTTGATTTGAATGACATATGCTTGGTTTAACTACATGCACAAAAATGAGGTTGTTTGGTGTATCTGTGTACAAAAATGCAAATATATTGTTATGCGTCTATTGATTTAAATGATTTATAATGTGTAAAGTTTGACATAAAACATTGTACGTAGACGATGGCACTAATGTTGAAAATATATCTGACGGTGTAAATAACTAGACATTATATGTTTGTTGATACAAATGCTACGGAGTATTTGTTTGGTGAGAATGCAAGTTTAATACTCCGTATATTTTGTGACATACATATATAAAAATACAAATTCAAATATAGTAGGTACTAAAAAGTGAATTACACTACTTACAAATACACATTTACAAGTGAATCGAATATTAGAGTACGTATCTTCAGTGTAAAAATGTGAAAGGTAAACATGCATGTTAACACATAAAATTGATCGATAGGTATATCTGTCTCCTTATTTTAATGTGTTTTTTATTTTTGGTAAAATTTTCTTCACAATGTCTAGATGTAGATATTGTGATTGAAATTGTTAATAAATTAAAGAGTAACTAACATATAGAAAACAGTTGAAAGAAGGAAAGAAAAATTTCATTGGTTTATTTTAACGTGTCTATTATCTATCTCACTCATGAGACATGAAAAACATGCACATCCCTGCATTGGAGATAATTTTAGTTGCTAACAACCTTTGGTAATATATATACCCCCATCTCACAAATCTTTTTCAGCTTTCTTTGTTGAAACTTACACAAAACTTTGTCATGTTTCTTAAAAAAAACATTGTCATTTCCACATAAAAAAATATGCAGTCAAAGTTATTTATCTAGGTCTCATCTACACAAATTTTAATTATTAAATTTTAACTTTATTATGTCATGTACAAGTTAATTACTTAACTATAATCGAGTCAAATTTTACATGAGGGAGAGAATATTTGGAAGGCATGCCGAAGAGCATCATGTACGGGCATCAGTATAGTTTGCCTACTTCATGTGATTATAATTTTAAAAAGGTATTATATAAAAACTATGGAGAATAAGTCTTTGACCGTTTATGGAAATTATAAGGGTTGTTGATGTAGAAAACTAGTAGGAAGAAAACAAAAAACATTAGGATTTAGGAAGTTAATTTAGTCAAAGGCTCATTCTCTTTCATTGAAATTGTATGCAAGAGTCCAAAATAAACCAATTAATACGAACACAAAAGTATGAGGTTCAATTGTGAGTTGTCATTGGCTTCACGTTCCATGGATATATAGCGAGTCAAAATGGTCAGGACTACACACTCCTAAAAATGCAAAGAAGGAACAAAAGAGGGTGTGACTTCAAATTTAAATCTCCCTTTGAATTTTAATACTGTATGTTTTATTTGTTTTGTCATCTTAATTAGAGCAATGATAAAAGTGATTTTTAAAAGTATCGAAAGAATTTTTAATGAGTACGTGACTCATAGTATTGTTAGGAATTTAACTCACACGAAAAACACACGAAATTTGGTAACCCAGTTCGCCACGAATGACTACGTCTGGAGGCGCTACCAAGCCAGAAATATTATTGCTATTTTCGGATCTAAGAGATTACAATGGGGGAGAGCTTGTATTTATAGTGAGTAAAACCTACCCCTAATCCAATTGGGAGGCTCAGCCGAAAAAAGAAAAAATAAAATCTGTACGGCCCAATTGTACGGAATCCGTACGGCCCACTTGTACGGAATTGTACGGAAAACTTGATAGTTGGATCAACGGATAGAGATTGGTTATACAGTCTCTAACACCTTACAAGCATCCTCCATCCTAATATTTTTCTTCCTTTCTTTAATTAGTTGAGGTATCGCAAAATGTTCTTCAAATTTCCTACTATACATACTTAATGAAGTGCATGTATAATATGAGCTCCATCCTATATTTTTCTTCCTTTCTTTAATTAGTTGAGGTATCGCAAAATGTTCTTCAAATTTCCTACTATATATACTTAATGAAGTGCATGTATAATATGAGCTCCACCCTATATACTTACATCCATTATTATACCTAAGAGGCCGGTATGCATGTTTAAATTATGCATACTAACAGCCCGTTTGGTAACACTAAAATTGGTTGAATTGGCTGATTCTGCTGAAATTTATGAAGTTCTAGCTGAAGTGGCTGTATTGGCTGAATCTGCTGATTCATGAAAAAAAAAATTAAAATATTTTTTATTGATAAATAAAATAAAAAATTATATAAAAAATAGCTAAAATGATCCTCTACAGTAACTTTAGCCAATACAGCTAGAAAAGTAACTCCAATCTTACTTTTTCTGATTATTACATAATTCAGCGCGCGAAATCAAAAATTACATTTTGGTGAAAAACTGACTGATATGCCTGATAAACCGACAAAATGGGTCACCAAACGGGCTCTAAATATTACTCCCCATGTCCCTAATTTATCTTCCAAATAGGTTTGACACACAGTTTAAGATAGTGGATACGTATTGTGTGGTGGAGAGTTGTGCAGAGGAGAGAGAAATGTGTAAGAATTGTTATGAACCACAAATTCCTTGCCAAAAAGGGAAAGTGAAAGTTTTAATTGGGACGAACGAAAAAGGAAGTTGGAAGTTTATTTAGGGACGGAGGGAGTAATCCTTATTATGATACATTTAATCGCATAGTAAAAAGTAAATGGCAAACTAAGAGCATCTCCAATGCTAATACGTTAACGGTGCATACGTGGCATGAGAGATAGCCAATCAAAAAACAATAAATAAAATATCTCCCTCCTTATTTGAAGTATCTTATATCATTTTGGTAAGTTTTTCTTCACAATGTCAAGCACAATGTCTAGATGTAGACATTGTAGTTGACATTGCAGAGAAAAACTTACCAAAAACACATAAGACCGTGGAACGACAGAGAGAGAAATGTCATAAAATCAAAATTTTGCGTCTATCTCTCTCATGCCACATGTGCACCATGCACATTGTAGCATTGGAGATGTTCTAATGTTATCCATCCGACCATATATCAGTCAAACGTTGTAAAAATTAAAGTTTTCATTTGAACCTTGGCTTGTAAAAAGTAAATGGAAACCTTGTAAATTTTAAAGATTTTTATTTTATACTCCCACCGTCCCAGGGAGAAGTTCCCGGGTTGACTTTCACACATATTAAGGAAATAAAGTTACTGAGGGGTAAATTTTACTGTTTGGCACTGTTTCGACACTGTTTGGCATTGTTTGGCACTGTTTGGCACTGTTTTTATGTAGGATAACTTTCTATTTAAGGAAATGGGAACTTTTTGTTGGGACTGCCAAAAAGGAAATTGGGAACTTCTTCCTGGGACGGAGGTAGTAATTTTTTATTTTTTCGATTTTTTTTTATATTTATTTAATACGTAGTATTTATTTTGTATTTTTACTTTTTTTACATTTTTATTATAAATAAAATTATGTTATTACTTTTATATTTTAATTATAAATGAAATATGAGTTGTATTAAAACAAAGTAAGATTATAATTGGAAAGCTAGTCCTATTTAGGGAATTTATAAGTTAGGGTTCTATTTTGGCAATTAAAGTTTGATTTAGTCCCTTTTGAAGAACGTACTCTAACTAATTTAATGACAATAATTTAAGATGGAGGGAGGTAGAATGTGGAAGAAATGGTAGGAAATGAAGAGAAGATGCGGCATAAGCAATTAAGGTAGCTTAGCATTTAGCAATTCAAGGAGGTGAGATGATATGAGGGTTAAGTAATTAATTACCTGCATGATGGGAAAGATGATGGAGTTCAAGAGCTTCCCATTTACTAAACTGTTTTCCACACTTGTGGCATGTAACTGATGAAGATGATCCATTATTGATACTTACATCTCTGTCAAGGGAAAGAGAAGCAGCCCTTAGTTTTGAAGACAACCCAAGGCCTTGGCTTTTTTCCCCCAAATGGGAAAATGATGATGATGATGATGAAGCCCTCCTCCCCCTTGAAGGTGTGGTTCTGTTCCTAGTAAGGGAAGAAGAGTTCAAATAGTGATGAGCTGATGATGCACGATGATGATGATGATGGTGATGATGATTTCCTCCTGCGGTCGGGGCAGGGCCAGGAGTACCGGGTCTAAGAGTACCCACTAACGAGCCGCCACCCCCGCCGCTTGCAAATCGTGTGATTCTGAGTTCACACCTGCTGCTGGTGGAGCTATTATGCAGAACAAGTTGATGGGTGAGGAAGTCACTGCTCCCAATGGACCTTGGGCTGCAGCTGCCTGCCTTTTCCAAGTGCCTCCTGCTTCCGTGGATGACCACATCTTTGAGGTTTGATATTGAGCGAGAGCAACCGGACCTCCCTCCTTCACCCCCGCCGCTCGCCGCCGCTTTCCAGCTGCTCTTCGGGTCCCCCACTTCTGATGCCTCTAATGACTTGCACTGCATAGATCTCTTCAACGAAAACCAAACCGTGGAACTGGGCATATCCTTCTTTTTCTTCTCCCCCATTATATATTCAAAATACCGGCCTTACTTTTTACTTAATTTGGGGCAGCTTGATTCGCCGCATGCATCAAAGCTTTATCATGATTACACTCAATAGCATGCTATGCATTGCATCATTATATCATGCCTTGCCTAGTGTGTGTATATATATAGGTCAAATAAAGATGAGTCTTCATGTAAAAATACCAATGATTTTACTACATTGAAAAAGTGCACTATTTGAATCTAGAATGTCAAGTGCACCAGACTAGATGAGGGTATTTTCTAGAGTTAATGATCAAAATAGGACTAAAAGTCATTCACTTTGCACAAATAGCACCAAAAAATAAACTATGTTTCCATAGGACTAATTATGTGTGTCTTGGACAAATATACCCTCATACCTATTGGAATGTTTTAATTCATAATAAAATAATAAAAAATAATAAAAATTCGTAAAATACACCAAAAAATTAATAAAAATATTTTGAATAATAATAAATTTAAAAAAAAAATTCAAAAAAAAAAATAAAAAATAAAAATAAATTAAAAAAAAATCAAATTTTATTTGTCACCGCCGCCTCTGCCGCCCCAGCACCACCACCTCTAGTCATTTGGGGAAAAAATGCCAAATTTATTATGAATTCCATATTTTTGGCATAATTCATAATGATTTGAGATGACAGAAAAAAATGTTGGCATTGTCAAAGAGAAATATGCCATATTTTTGGCATTTTCCGAAAAAAATGGAAGTTTGTAGGAAATATGACATTTTTTTTGAACGGTCGGAGGTGGTGGTGCAGGGAGGCGGTACCACCACCTCCTGTCACCGGGGTAAAATAATGCCAAAAAAATTATGAATGCCATATTTTTGGCAAAAGTCAAAAGGATTCAAGTTGGCAAAATGAAAATGTTGGCATTCTCATAGAGAAATATGCCATTTTTGTGGAATTTAAAAAAAAAGTGGCATTTTTTACACCGATCGGAGGTGGTGGTTCAGGGAGGTAGTACAGGCGGTGGGAAAGGTATCCATATTTTTTTTTAATTTTTTTATGGAGTTTTACTATTTTTTATTAATTTTCAAAAAAAAGTTTTTCTTATTTTTTATTTTATAAAAAATTTATTAATTTTTTTTATTATTTTTCTACGAATTATTGAAATTTTTTCGGATTTATTATGAATTAAACATTTAATTATGACTTTTAGCTATCTTTTACTAATATTTAAAGGAGGGGTAAGAATGGAAGGAAGAAATGAGTATGTTTCTAATAGGACCACTATGGTCCTATTTTGGAATAAAAACATAGGAAGTCCTATTTTGAGTTTTTGCCATAGTTTTAGTCTTATTTGAAGTAATTTCTATATTTTCTACCTCATTTTGAAAAAGTGTAGTAGTTGAATCTAAAAGTTCAATGTAACAAAGTAAAATTGAAAAGGGAAACTGCCTTAAATAAGAGTGAAAACTTTTAATTCCAAAAAAGGATTGCTATATTTTTATTCTCAAAATATGAGTAATTATTGTCAATTTTTGGCAGTACTAGACTTCAAACAACAACAACAACAACCAAGCCTTAATCCCAAAAAATTTTGGGGTCGACTAACATGAATCGATCCATGATATCAATGTCAAAAAGAGAAGAACAAACAAGAACAAGAAAAAAAAGATAAAATGAATAAGATAAAGATAAATAAATATTGGCAAAATTCACAAGAATAATCCGTACTGTTAGGGATTCTACAATAATAATCCATACTGAGAGTGTCCATAAAAATAATCCGAACTACCAATCCAATAATGTTCATAAGAATAAATTAAGTGAATTCAAATTAATGTCCGTTTAATACTTCCAACACTTACTCCCACTTTTCTCTTTTTTTTCGAGACGAAAAGTGATGAATGTGAAAGTGAAAGTAGGGATTGAGAATATTAAATGAGAATTAGTTTGAATTAATTTTAATTTATTCTTATGGACACTATTGCTAGTATGGATTATATTTATAGACACTCTAAGTACGGATTATTATTGTAGAATCCATAAAAGTACGGATTATTCTTGTGAATTTTGTCATAAATATAAGATAACAATAACATAAGAATATAAGAAAGATAAAAGATAAAAGCATAAAAGAGCATAAAAAGTTAGAAGATAAAAAATAACATAAGAACATAAAAAGACAAAGAACATAAACAATAAAAGAAAAAAAAGAGGAAAAATATAAAAGAGATCAATCGTCCACAAGATCGAATGTGCGCCCTCCACTTTGCCCTCTCTAAAGATATACTCTCATTCCATTTTTTGGTAGTACCAGACTTCAAATAACCATATCAATTGTGATCCAATCCAAGCCATATCAGTGCCAGAGTTCAAACATGATACTATTTTTCAAACGTGACAGTAATTACTTCTACTTATAAAATAAAACATACAGTCCTATTTTCAAATTTTCAAAACGTTTTAACTCCTATTTCGGGAATTTTCCCAAATGAAAATTTAAGACTTTATATGTTAATCATTGTCTTTACCTAAACTGTATCACGTCTCAAACAAGCACAAAATTTGGGAACCCTAATAGCGGACTGAACCTAGCGATTGTCTAGGGTTGAAGGGGGCCGCAACGGCTTCGAATCCAGTTCGTCGGTGGCCGATTTTGCTGGTGAACGATTGAGGCAGGGGGTTGAAGGGGATCTCGACGATCTGATTACGTAGTCGGCGTTTTGGCTGGAGGAGAGGAGGTCGGGGTCTTGTTGGCGTGAAAGCAGTTGCAGCGACGAGAAGATCATGTGTTTTCACCCAAGTTGTAGCAGGCACCGGTCAATTAGTTAGTTAGCGTGAAAGAAGTCTCTGGCAGGGGCACGACTGAGAGAGGGTGGAAGGAGCAGCGAGAGTCGATCTTGACTTGTCGACAGTTGGTCCCAGGAGCAAGTAGTTGAATGTTGTTGGTGGAAAGCAGACTGCAGTGGTGTTGTGATTTGTGAGGATGGAGACAAGCTTTAAGAAGACTTACGGCAGTTTGGCTTGAGAACGGCATTTACTCGGTGTCAAATGGTAAGGCATAGCAAAGTTCGTGATGTACAAAAAAAGGTGAGGAAGAAGATGAAGTATTATCAATTCCCCCCCAACCGCCACCATAGAATTAGGAGGATTCAAGAGTAAAAGCAGGAGAATTCCATCGATTGAACTTTTACTTATTTTTGCATCTTTCTTTTCAAACTGAACTTGATTGTTAATTGTGTTGTTTTTTGTCGTACAATGGGGGTATGTATGTTGCTTTTGTTTGGTAGGTTGAATTCTTATTGGAGGCAATCAGGCTGAATCAGCCGTTAATAGCCTCTTTTCTCTCACCGTTTCAACGATTAGTCTCGGTCTTTTCGGGGTGGACTATTCTATATGTGATCATGACGTGAGGGGATTGATGGGCTTTGGTATTGGTTGGAGAGAAGGAGATCTAGGTCTTGAGACATGTTTGTTGCTTTGGTTTGATTGATTTTTAGATAAGCTATTTCCTTTTAAGTACTTATTATAAGTAAAGGAAAAATGGTTGTGGATCCGCTGACTAAAGGAATTATCACAAATCTATGACTAAAGAAATTATGCACAAATCTATGTGCTTAGCACCTTTAGTGTACCTATCATTCTTCGTGAAGAAGACTGTTGCGGAATTATCACAATAAATTTTCAGCGGCTTAGCTATAGTGTCGACAAATCCGACAATTCTAAGTCCTGAAACAAAGTTCCGCAGCCACAAATTAAACCATGAACAGTGGCCTCAAAGCATGCCACAAATTCTGCCTCCATAGTGGAAGTAGCAATAACTGTATGTTTACTGCTCTTCCAAGATACTGCTCCTTCAACCAATATGAACAGATAACCACATGTTGACTTTCTACTATCGACACATCCAGCAAAGTCTGAATCTGAATATCCAATCACCTCAAGATGATCGGATCTTCTAAATGTAAGCATGTGATCTTTGGTGCCTTGCAAGTACCTCAAAACATTCTTTGCAGCTTTCCAGTGGTCCATTCCGGGATTACTTTTGTTGGTAGAAAATATCTCGGGTAGAGAAACTAGCAGCATTTCAGTATAGTAAAATAGCGTCTCGAATACAAGGGGGGTGATGGCCTATTTATAGGCATCCATCACAAGTCCAAAGTCTAACCTACGTGGGCTTGGCCCAAATACATAATACATGTCCAAGCTAATGGGCGAACCGGCCCAATAAATAAATAAATGAGCAAGGGGAGATTCCCGCTCGTGAGACTGCGTCTTGGGCCTAGTTGGGCCAAAGCTCGGGGATAACAGGCCGATGGCACTGGGCCTGGGATATCATCCCAACACGAGTCCCCCACTCCCTTAGTCGAGTAGTAGACTCGGCTAAAAGGGAGTAGTTGAGCTGCTTTGAAATCGGCCCGGTTGCCAAGCTAGCTAGTTACACAGATGATTGTTGATGATGACGATCTGCGGTATGCCTGGAAAGGTTAGTCATGTAACCGTCCGCTGTGATCCCATAGTGTTGCGCAAGGATGAGACCCTCCTTGTCTGGGTAGCATCCCGGGGTCCTGGTTATCTGGCCAGCTGCCCGGGGTCTTCTTTGCTCCAACCGGGAAGACCTCCTCCTTTGTTCATGATGAGGGGATGCCTCGTTAAAACCTTACTAGGAAAAAACCCGGTGGGAAAAAATCCTAGTGAAGGAAAAAGAGTACACCGGTACCTCAAAATAAAACAGAGGAAGGTCAGTCTCGTCGTTTCTTGATTGAGCGTCTCCTTTACTGGTAAGCCGAGATATGTTCCGGGAAGGCCAGTCGCTTGTGTGTTTTCCAGTGTTGGCGGTCAAGCCAATGTATGCTCGGGAGAGGCCACCCGCATAACTGTTTGTCGATGATGTCGAGCCAAGGTATGCCCATGAGTGGCCTGTCGCAAAGCTGCCCGTTGATGATGCCGAGCCGAGGTATGCTCGGGAAAGGGTAATTGCATAACTATGCACATTGATCCCCGCTGCTTGTGAGAGGATATGGGTTCCTTCGCCTGGGTAGCAGTTTTAGGTCTTGTTTATCCGATTAGCCTCCCATGGTCTTGTTCTTCCGATCAGCAGCCTGGGGTCTTGTTTGTCCGATTAGCAGCCCAGGGTCTTGTTCTGGTGGAGAGATCTCGTCTTTGAATGCGCCCAAACAGGAGCTAAAGGGTGAGCTCTTAGGCCATTGTGTGCAGATGCAATGGTCGCCACCCACTGAGGGGATAGCAAA